ATATATATATATATATATATATATATATATATATATATATATATAAACCCTTCCCACACTCTTGCAATATTCTAAACAATTTTTCTAAACTAAATGCTCTAAAAGAGCACAGAATGTCATGATTTCAGCTCCCTGCCTCATCTACTCTTTGTCACCTGCAAGCGCTCTTGGCCACGCCCACTTCTCCGCTCTGCACGGTGAACAGCTGATCAGCTGCAGCAGGAAGTTTATCCTGCAGTGTGGGCTGCACAAAGGTGCAGGAGGAAGTTTTTTTCTGCAGCTGCACAAAGGTGCAGGAGGAAGTTTTTTTCTGCAGCTGCACAAAGGTGCAGGAGGTGCTAAATAATTTTAAATAATTTATTTTAAATAAAAAACCCATGCCGATCATGCGGCTCATCTATTAATCAGCCAACTGCGTGTCATGTCCAATCTTATTTTGAAAACCCGCGATAGAGTGAGTTGCGATAAATGAACCGCGAAGTAGCGAGAGACAACTGTAAATGATTTGGGTAAAATTGCTAATTTTAGTATGGAACAGAATAACTACATTTTAAAAATGCATTGGCTATAATGGTTACATTAAAAAAAAAGTGAATGATACTCGTGGGCAGTTTTCATCCTCTGATTCAGTTAGTATAAACATTCACAGCTTGTTGATGATACATTTTGACAAACTTGTGCATAAACTAAACCAACTTCCACCCTGAAGACCACTTGCATTGTTACAATAATATATGTATATTAATACAATAACACAAATGTGATAGCCGCACAATACAGAATGCTCGAGTGCGTTTTATGTTTTTAATGTGCACACTGGTATTATGACAGAGTGGCTTCACAGAGGCTCACATAGAGCAGTCTAAAGACCTGTGAATGTATGCAACCTTTTATTTAAAGGTAGTTCAACAGATGTGCCTGTCTTCAGTGAAATTGAAATAAGTGTGTTGCTGTTCCATCGGGAACTCTTCTGGAAACTAAAAATAAAAAGGTAAATTCCACTGAGAGTCTTTGAAAACATTTCATTTCCTAAATCATAGACCTTCTTGTTCCTGTTCGAGCAGAAACAACAGTACAGCTGGACACATGGTCGTTGAGGTAAGGCGTGTGTAGTGATACACGTGAGGTACGTGTCACTTGTTGTATGACACAATATATGAATTATATATGCATACAATATTCACGAGTTCTTCATTTTTCTGACTGTAAATGCCGTGCATTGAATTTAACAGAAATGTGAACGAGAGACGTTATTTATCTTTGACCCATCAAATGAATGGAATCATTTATTTTCAAAATCAAAGTTTAACATCAAACATTTACATTAATTTGGCAAAATATGAAAATAATAACAGACAGTTTCACAGAAAATGAACTTCAAATCACTCGGCGGTGATTTGAGGACTTTGCTTAAGATATTTCTAAAATATCTGTACTGATTTATGAGAGAGAGGTGGGTTTTAGAGTGAAAGGAGATTATCTTACAGAGAACTGTGTGAGGGAAGTTTAATCTGTTTAACCAGAAGTTGCACGCTCCGTCCGATCTCAGCTTCTCACGGTACACTTGGTCAAAATAGAACCATCTACCTGTTGACGATGAATCAGCGTTGGATGTAGTTCCTTTCTGACTCGTTTCAGCGTCTCCGTCGAGAGCTACCAAACCTTCAGAAAGTCGTGCGTTGATTAGCTCAAAACAGAATTATAATCCCCAAAAAACCTCTGGATTCTTCATTGCTCTGAAGCTTTCAGAACCGACTGCATTCTCAATCTGCTCATTCTGTTGGACTATCGGACCTGTTGTCAGCTCTCATTCCAACATCTCTCAGAACTCTCATTCTCTTGGAATTCTGGAATCCATAATTCTCTATTCCTTCTCTTCTCTATTGGAATCTAACATGAACTGGGCAGTTGTCACATTTTAAATGGGTCGACTTCCTGTTCAATTTAGAGCTTTCTGATTCGTGGAAGGACCAGAAAGAGGAGTGGATTTGTGACGTAAGATGTTATCATAAGTCAAGGATTGTTTACAACATACAGAAAAGATTATTGCAGCAACAGCAGACTTCGTGGAGTCTCACACTTTGTAATCTTTTCAAATAGTAAAACATGACATTTTTCTCGGTAAACATTTTAGTTGACCGAAAACCAACCTTTAACATACTTACGAC